TCTGAGGAAGGGTCACCGGACCCGAAACGTTAACTCTGTTTTCTCCTCCACAGATGCTGCCAGACCTGCTGAGCTTTTCCAGCAACTTTGTTTTTGTTCTTGATAGGGAAATGGCACTTACTATGTGAGTTAAGATACAGGTAGCAGTCTTGGATGAGCTCAAGGTTAAGGTGGAAAGTGAGAGGCCAGCCATGAGAATATTTGAATTGTCAAGTCTAAAGGCAACAAAGGTTGGGATGAATATTTCAGCATCAGACTTCTGAGCCAGGATTAGAAATGCTGAGGGATTTATTGTTGTACTCCTGTTGGTGACATGCCTAATAGGAAACCTAAGGTTTAATTTTCAAATGTACTTTAATGCTGTGATTATTTCAGTTAATATTCGTCTGACAATTCATCTTTGAATTTGAGTGGCCAGTTCTTCCAACACCATGAAGTTCCATTAAACATGTTTTCCAAAATGTAAAATGAGTTAAGTTCAACAGGACAAAGTGATGGGGCGGTAGACAATGATGATGGGGGTCAGTCCAAGAGTCTTAATGACCTGAAAAAGTTGCTTGAAATCTGAAATCTCACTGTTTGATATTCCATTAAAGAAAAGGAATGCTACATTTAGGAAGATTGGACATAATTGTGCGAAGGGCCCATTTCTGAGATGAGACTAGAAGGGGCCTGTTCCCAGTGGGCTTAGTCCCATCTAACATTTTGTTATGTTTTTGACATGTTTAATCAAGTATAGAGTGTCTCAGAGCTTAATAAGTCCCACCTTCATTTGAGACTACCCTGAAATGTGTTGTGTGGCACTGTCACTTTGTTAAATGTTAAATGGGACAGACTTCAAACAGATTTAGTGATTCAAGACTGGACATCCATGAGGTGCTGTGGGCCATCAACAGCCATGATGTGGAGGTGCCGGTGTTGGACTGGAGTTCCTCAGGGTAGTGTCCTAGGCCCAACCATCTTCAATGATTCATCAATGAAAATCTCAAATAAACCTGTTGGACTATAACCTGGTGTCATGTGATTTCTGACCCCATCAACAGCAGGAGAATCGCACTCCAGCACAATCTGCAACCTCATGCCCGGCATATCCCTCACTCAACCATTATCATCAAGTCAGTGGATCAACCCTGGTTCAATGGAGAGTGTAGTAGGACAAGCCAGGAGCAGCACCAGACATACCTGAAAATGAGGTGTCAACCTGGTAAAGCTATCAACCAGGACTACTTGTGTGCTAAGCAGCTTAAGCAGCAAATGATAAACAGAGCTAAGTGAACCCACAACCAACGGATCAGATTTAAGCTTTGCAGTCCTGGCTTATCAAGCCGTGAATGTTGGTGGACAATTAAACAACTCACTGCAGAAGGAGGCTCCGCAAATATCTCTATCCTCAATGATGGAAGAGCCAAGCACATCAGTGCAAAATACAAAGCTGAAGCATTCACAACAGTCCTCAGCTAGAAGTGCCAAGTTAATGGTTGGGTCCCAGCTAACATTTGTTATGGGCATGTCTTTGGGGTGGAGAATCAAGAATAGAATTGTTCCCAGCATCACAGATGCCAGCCTTCGGCCAACTCAATTCACTCCATGTGGTATCAAGAAATAGCTGAAGGCACTGGATACTGGAAAAGCTATGGACCCTGATAACATTCCGGCAATAGTGCTGAAGACTTATGCTCTAGACTTTGCTTTCCTAGCCAAACTGTTCTAGTACAGTTACAACAATGGCATCTGTGGAACAATGTGAAAAATTGCAAATCCAACATGAAGAATTAACTGTCCTTTCAGTCTACTCTGGATCGTCAGTAAAATGATGGAAGATGTCGTCAACAGTGCTACTAAGCAATACCTGCTCAGTGATGCCCAGTTTGGATTCTGCCAGGGCCACTCAGCTCCTGACCTCATTACAACCTTGGATCAAACACAAAAGACTGAATTCACAAAAGGTGAGGTGAGGTGAGAGTGACGGCCCTTACCATCAAGGCTGCATTTGACTGAGTGTGGCATCAAGGACCCTAGCAAAACTTGAATCAATGGGTATCTGATGACAAACTCTCTGCTGATTGGAGTCATACCTGGCACATTGGAAGATGGTTGTGGTTGTTGGAAGTCAGTCATCTCAGTGCCACATCTCTGCAGAAGTTCCTCAGGGTACTGTCCTTGGCCCAACCATCTTCAACTTCTCTCCACCAAAGGTCAGAAGTGGGGATATTTACCAATTATTGTACAATGTTCAGCACCATTCTTGACTCTTCAGATACTGAAGCAGGCCATGTTCAAATGCAACAAGATCTGGACAATATCTAAGCTTAGAATGACAAGTAGCAAGTAACATTCATACTACACAAATGCCAGGCAATGACTATTTACAATAAGAGGCAATCTAACCACTACCTCTGACATTAAACGGCGTTACCAATACTGAACCTCCACTATCAACATCCTGGGAGTTACCATTGACCAGAAACTCAACTGGACTCATCATATAAATACAATGGCTAAAAGAGCAGGTCAGTAGCAAATAATTCACCTCCTGACTCCCTAATGCCTGACAACCGTCTACAAAGGACAAGTCAGGAGTGTGATGGAATACTCCCCACTTGTCTGGACGGGTGAAGCTTGATACTATTCAGGACAAAGCAGCCAGCTTTATTGGCACCACATCCACAAGCATACATTCCCTCCACCACTGACGCTCAAACACAGGTGTACTATCTACAAGATGCACTTCAGAAATTCACCAAAGATCCTTAGGTGTCAGATACATGGAGACACATGCAAGTTCTCTTCCAAGCAACTCACCATCCTCAGTTGGAGATATATCACCATTCCTTCACTGACACTGGGTCAAAATCCTGGAATTCCCTCTCTAATGGCATTGTTGATCCCTCTATAGCACATGAGCTGCAACAGTTCAAGAAGACAGTTCCTCACAACCTTCTCAAGGGCAACAAGGGATGGGCAATAAATACTGGCCTCGCCAGCAATGGTCAGGTCCCACGAGTGAATAAAGAAAGACAAATGCAAACTGATTGGCTTTTGCTAAAGTGGATTTAAAGAGGTTTTCTAATATATCTGTTCAGCAATGTTATTACTGAACTCTAGGGCAAGTCATACTTGAATCCAGGCATTCTGGTCTAGAGGTAAGGTATAGACTTATAAAGGGTAGGTCATATCTAATGAGTTTCATTAGTTGTTCCCTCAAATGATTCAAAGTAGTTGACAGGGAAATGTAGATTGCCATGGATTATATGGACTTTCAGAAGGTATTCAGTAAATTTCCATGTTGATATTCTTAGCTAAAATTGAAGTCGATGGAATTAGAGGCAAATTATTAACTTGGTTTTGGTAGGAAACCAGAGAGCTGTGGTATGAGATGAGGACTCACTAAGGAAGTGACTAGTGAACAATAATCTGGTCGGATTAGTATCACTGGTATATTTTAAAGTTCCACACTGCTGCCATTCTGCTATTCCCATAGGCTCTGATAAAATTTTGGGAAACATATAAATATAGAAATAAATTATGGCTTTGTAAAGAAGAAAGTTATGATTTTTAAAATTTATTTTCTTTGCACAGTAAGTTACGTAAAATTCTACCTGTAAGTAGGTACGTCATGATTATATTCAAAAATTCGAAAATTATTTATTAAAAACACTTTTTTGACACTCTAACACTCACAGAAACTGAAGAACAATGTCTACATGAGACTATTCAGCACCTAAAATCAGTGATAAGAAAAATGCTTCCTTTGTTTCTTCTTCCTAGGCACATTAAAAAAAAGATTATTCTCAAAAACAAAACTATAGAATTGTAAAATATCCCAATAATCTTTGGCAGTAAGACTGCAGGATGCACATTATTCGTGATGATTCATGATGGAGTTGGGCTGCAGGTCACCATAAGTAAGTGACTGAGTATAGCAAGGTTGTCTGGTTTTAAGGGCTGCCCCTGTTCCTTGGGACTTTGTCTCAGTGTTTTAGGCCCCGGAGCCCTCAGCTCTCAAATCCCTATCCACACTCCAAGGCAGTCATAGAATCATCCAACATGGAACCAGACCCTTCAGTTCAACCTGTCCACGCCGACCATAATCCAAAACTAAACTAATCCCAGCTGCCTGCAATTGGCTCATATCACGCTAAACATTTCTTATTAATGTACTTATCCAAATGTCTTTTAAACATTGTAACTGTACCCACATGCACCACTTCCTCTGGAAGTTCATTCCACACACAAACCACTCTCTGTGTAAAAGAACAACATTTTGTAAAAAGAAACATTTTCTGAAGAAGGGTCTAGGCCCGAAATGTCAGCCTTCCTGCTCCTTAAATGCTGCTTTGTCTGCTGTGTTCATCCAGCTCTACACCTTGTTATCTCAAATTGCCCCTCATGTCTTTTTTAAATTTCTCTCCGCTCACCTTAAAAATATGCTCCCTTTTCTTGAAATCCCCCACCCTAGGGAAAAGATATCTGCCATTCACCTTATCTATACCCCTCATGATTTTATAAGCGTCTGTAAGGTCATCCCTCAAAATCCTAAGCACCAGTGAAAAAAGTCCCAACCTATCCAGCCTCTCCCTATAACTCAAACCCTTATAAGTTGATAAGGTACTGCACATGACGCTACTTAATAAGAACCCAAAGTATTCGGGGTAGTATATTAACATAGATAGAAGCTTGGCCAGTGATTAGAAGCTTGGCTAATGGAAAGAAGGTTGACTAACTAATAGAAGGCAGAGAGTTGAGATAAAGGGGATATCTGTAACCAGTGGAGTAACTAAATTATGGCTTTGTGCATGAATCAGAAAAAGCTAGCATTCAAGTTCAGCAGGTAATAGGGAAATGCAATATTGGCCTTTATTTCAAAGGGAATGGATTATAAGAATAGAAGTCTTGCTGAAACTATATACGGCACTAGTCAGAATACACCTCGAATATTGTGAACTGATTTGGTTCCCTTCTTGAAGGTACGTATTGGCGGTCAGAAAAGGTTCACTGAGTTGTTCCCAGGTATGGAGTGATTATCTTATGAGCTAAGCCTGGATTGCTTTGGCCAGTATTCATCGGAGTTTAGAAGACTCAGAGATGACCTTACTGAAACATATAATATTCTGAGCAAGCTTGGTAGGGTTGATGTGGAGAGGTTGTTTCCCCTTGTTAGCCTTCTGCTCTCATACTCTCAGCATCTCCCCTAAACAGGGTTGCTCATTTCAGACAGCAGTGAGGAGGAATCTCTTCTCTTAGATGGGGGTGAATGTGGAATTCTTTACTGCAAAGAGCTGTTGACCTGGGTCATTAAGAGTATTCAAGGTTGAGATAAACAGACTTTTAATCTGTAATGGAATCAAAGGGTATGAAGGAAAGACATTGAAGAGGATTTGAGGATTAGTCACAATCTCATTGAATGGTTCAGCGGACTTGAAGGGCCAAATAGCCTACTTCTGTTTCCGCATCTAATGGTCTCATGGACAGTGATCTACGGATGTGAAAAAACAAATAATCTGAGGTACGTAGGTTCACAAAGATCCAAAGCTCTAGCAGCTGATGAGGTGGAGCTGAAGAAGGCTCGAAACAATGTTTAAAATAGCCAGAATCATCAATGCTTTATAGGCCTAGAGATATACAGCACAGAAACAGACCCTTCAGTCCAACTCGTCCATGCTGACCAGATTACCCAAATTAATCAAGTCCCAATTGCCAGCATTTTGCCCATATCCCTCTCAACATACCCATCCAGATGTCTTTTAAATGTTGTAATTATACCAGACTCCACCACTTCCTCTGGCAGTTCATTCTGTACATGTGCCACCCTCTGCGTGAAAAAGTTGCCCCTTATGTCCCTTTTAGATCTTTCCCCGCTCACCTTAAACTTATGCCCTCTTGTTTTGGACTCCCCAACCTTCAGAAAAAGACCTTGGCTATTCACCCTATCTATGTCCCTAATGATTTTATAAACCTCTATAGAGCCTCCGATGCTCCAGGGAAAATAGCCACAGCCTGTTTAGCCTTTCACCATAGCTCAAACCTTCCAACCCTGGCAACATCCTTGTAAATCTTTTCTGAACTCTTTCACGTTTGATACGTCTTTCATATAGCAGGGAGACCAGAATTTCAAAAGTGGCCTAATCAATGTCCTGTACAGCTGCAACATAACCTCCCAACTCCTATACTCAATGCACTGACCAATAAGGGCAAGCATACTAAATGTCTTCTTCACTACCCTATCTATTTATGTTGAAAAACAAGAAAACAATGGTGCAAGAAGATTGTCAAAGGAGACAGGAGGAAAGAATTACAGCTGGCTCACAAAATTTACACAGTCGTGGGTAAAATATTGAGAATTTTATCAAAAAGAATAGGAGTTGCTGCAATACAAAGAATTGAAGCATTGACTTGAGATAAATACTACAGAAAATACTACAGTAAGAAAAAGTTGAGACAAAGATGGACAAGAAGGGTCAATAGTATTTTGAATCTAACGAGAAGCGTAGACAATTTTTGGGTTAGGACATTTGTACTGGAAGTGATTCCCACTGGCAAGAATCTGGAATTAATTTTCTGAAACCAAACTGAGTTTAAAATTTTCAGTCAGACAATATTGGAGATTTTATTCAAACAAAATATGGTGAGGGGAACAAAGCTGTCCAGAAAGAATGACACAGATCACTCTTGAATGGTAAATTATTATGGCTGTTTCTTTTTATCAGTTTGGGCATGTATAGAACGAATAGCCAAGGTGTTTTTCCCAGGGTAGGAGAGTCCAAAACTAGAGGGCATAGGTTTAAGCTGAGAAGGGAAAGATTTAAAAAAGGACCTAAGGGGCAAGAGGGTGGTGCGTGTATGGAAATGAGCTGCCAGAGGAGGTGGTGGTGTCATGTATAATTACAACATTTAAAAGGCATCTGGATGGGTATATGAATAGGAAGGGTTTAGAGGGATACGGGCCAAATGTTGGCAAATAGGATTAGATCAGTTTAGGGTATCTGGTTGGCGCAGGTGAATTGGCCGGAAGGGTCTGTTTCTGTGCTGTATAACTATATAACTCGATGACTGACTGAGTGTGGTTGGGACAGAGGAGCTGTCCACCTCCTACATGTAGCTAGTGAGGTTGGAAATGCAAGGTTTGTACTTGATACCCGCACAGTGCCAGCAAAAATTGGGCATGCAGGAAGTCGGTATGAGAATGCTGTAAACAGATCCTGTCTGCTATTTTTAAATTACTCAAGTTGTTCCAAATCTGCAGAAATCGAATATATCAAGCATGAAAGCATAAATTGTAAAAACTAAGGAAAGCTCTGATATAAAGATAATAATGATGAAAGTCACACAATTTGAAAATTGTGTGGGGAAATAAAAATCCAGAATACAAAATATGTCATGAGGGCTCTTGTGGTGCAGTAGTAGTGCCCCTGCCTCTGAGCTAGATAGTCTGGGTTCGAGTCCTATCTGTATCATAACATGTTGATTAAACTGACTATTCAAAAGTCATAATTTAATAACTACAATTAGGTTTTCAGCTGCACTATTAGTTACAAATGGTTACCCGATTGCATCATAATTAAAAGCATTGATCACATGTTTCCCACAATAAATAATGTAGTTAGCTGCAAATCACTTCGGAATTGACCTTTTCTCCAGACTCTTTATTCATGCTAGTGGCAATGAGACATGTTCCTTGGGCAGATTCACACCCATTGCCAACTGAAAGTGATAGATTGAGAGCAGCTTCTAGCAAGGTGCAACAGAAACAATGACAATTTATTGAATTACTGTAGTTGACAACAGAAAACATAAGTGATGCTTAGTGTATGTTCCTTGTTTTGATATGTAAAAAGCAGCATGCTAACAGACCACTTAATTTAGGCTAAAGCTATATATCAAATTTATTGCAAGGTATAAATTTATGTACAAGTCGGCAGACAAACAACAACGGCTCTTGTAGCACAGTGGTAGTGTTCCTACCCTTGGGCTAGATGGTCTGGGTTCAAGTCCCATCTCAGGATGTGATGACCACAAAGGTGACACAACTAGACCAAACAGGTTGATTTACTGACATCAATGTTTAAACTATTTTCTAAACCAAGATATTTAAAAGTTCTTGGGGAGTATTCCTCCCATCTTTCACAGAATTCTGAATGACTGGTCCTATATGTCCAAGATGTTTCCTGGTTCATGGTTGTATCAATATTAGGTTCAGCTAAGTGAACTTGAGACAATCCCCCAGAAATGTATTATGTTAATTTTGTCTGAAGTAAAGGGCCAGCTTCCCCGAAGGTCGCCCTCATCAATATTTGATCATTGATGGTAATGCTCTACAAACAATATTCTCACAAGGAGATGAGGCATCCAATGGAGAGACAGTTACTTTGCACCACCCACTCCCCCCCTCCCCCCCCCCCCCCCCCCCACCACCACCACCATTGGTAAACTTGCAGAAGACTTCTTGAAGTTAAACAAATGTAACATGGTTGGCATTCATTCATGGATCATTGCCTGCTGACTTTGAACAGTTATCTTGGCAACTTTCCATTGCTGGTTTGCCACTGCCTTCCATTCTCAGGCGCAAGCCAAGAAGACAGGTCCTAAGACTATCTTGGCTGGAGTGGAAATTAAACCCATTGTTAGCATTACTGGGAACCCTCTGGCCAACTGAGCGAGCCAGCCCCATTTATGGTTTCAATATCACAAGCAAATTAGGAATCCTTTCTGAATCTGAACGCTCACTGCAACACAACTGGTGGAAATTGTTTGTGTTCAAACACTAACAGATAAAATTAAATTCATCTGAACAGAAAGCTGAACAGAAAACAAAGCTGAAAAAATCTTTAAAATTCTGTGTGATAATTCTGCTACAAATGCAAACTAATAAATGTAATATGGAAATACTTCACAGTATTCAATAGGGTGGAGAGCATTTCGGTATAACTATGCCATTCAAATGCCCAGTGGTCAGACAGATATTATTCCTGTGGTCAAATCAAGATTTAAGGTTGAAAGCAAAAATTGCTGCAGACTTTAAACAGAAAATTAGATAAAGAATGTCTTCTTAAGGAAGTTATATTGTGGAATTTGCTTAAGAAACGTGAAAGAAAAGTAATTGATGAATTTTGCAAGTTTTTTGAAGAAATTCCCAACCTCTGTGGCACATATTCGAGATTCAGGTTATCTAGAATTTTCTACTAAGGGTCAGAAGTTACGTGACTAAAGATGACGGATGAGTGGAAGAGAGTAGGTAACTCTGGGTGTGTAGTCTGTTTATAATTCTTTGCCTAAATAATCTTCACATTCCCCTGCAGAGAGTGGATATACCAATGTATTGCAAGAGAGCAGATGACAAAACAATTCTGATAGATGTCATGCTGGAGTTGAAGATGATAGAATCTCACAGCATTGGATCTTTACCAGCTTTGTAAAAGAGACATTTTCTGTGGTCCTTCCCCAAAATCCTCCAAATCTTGCGCATGCAAGTACACATTCAATTTCTTTTGAAAGTTATCATTGAACATGCTTCTCTGCCTTTTTATGCAGTACATTCCAGGTCATCGCATCAAGTATTCTTCTACTTACTGACGGTATGGATTGAAGAATTTCTATGCAGTGTGAATGTGTCTGTGTATTTCTAGAGAGGAGGAGTAGGTGAAACAGCTCTGACAGAAATCACATTGAAAACGTCTATCACCCTTATGTGTGAGCTGGTGTTTCAAAAGGTCTGGAAACTGGGTGAAACCTTTGTTGCAAAATTCACATTTGAATGGCTTGTCACCTGCCGGAATGCACTGATGTCTCAGGAAGTAGGATGAGCTCAAGAAAGCTTTGTCACAAACCTCACACCTGAACGGTCTCTTCCCTGTGTGGATGCGCTGGTGTACCACAAGGTACGATGAGCTACAGAAATCTTTGTCACAAATCTCACACCTGAAGGGCCTGTCATCGGTGTGGTTGCGCTGGTGTGTTCGGAGGTATGATAAGCTGCAGAAATCTTTGTTACAAGCCTTGCACCGGAACGGTCTCTCCTCTGTGTGGATACACTGGTGCTTCCGAAGGTACGATAAGTTGCAGAAACCTTTGTTGCACACCCCACAACTGAATGGCCTCTCACCAGTGTGGATGCGCTGGTGCACAACAAGGTAAGCAGAGCTGCAGAAATCTTTGTTGCAAACCTCACACCGGAACAGTTTCCCAGCTTTACGAATGCACTTATGTTCCAGGAGGCCCACTGAAGTTAGGAAAGCTTTGCTGCAGGCTTTGCACTTGGAAGCTTTCCCTTCCGTGTGGGTACGCCGATGCTCCATGAGGTGTGACTGCGTCAGGAATGCTTTGTCACAAAACTTACACTTGAATGGTTTCTCACCCGTGTGGATACGCCAGTGTTGCAGCAGTGTGGATGCTTGTGCGAAGGCCTTTTCACAAGCCTTGCATTGGAACGGCCTTTTCCCTGTGTGAACGTGCCGATGTTTCACAAGACTCGATGAATGACTGAAAGCCTTATCACACACCTCACACTTGAACGGCCTTTCCCCGGTGTGCATGCGGAGATGGCTCACCAGCTCTGGTGACTGCTCAAAGGTCCACCCGCACATGTCACACTTGTATGGTTTCTTTCCCATGTAGATGCCCTTATGTTACAGGACACACTGGATTAGGGCTTTGCCAAAATCTCACCCCTGAAGTAGACTTGCAGAAGCCATTCCTTTGATAAGGAGTAGGATATACCCGTGCCATTGTTTTCTCCCTGTATTCCCAATAAGATTTAATCCAATTTGTTCTTCCTGTAAAATAAAAACAAAATGTTACATGTCTCCCCAGTTCTTTCCATTCTCTGTTGAACACCTGGTTTTTCCCAGGAAGCTCTGGGTGTGTGGAAAATCCAAGTCAAGTCTTATGCTACCCTCACCTAAATTTGTTCTTTCCAGCAAAGTGCTACTGTGTAGTTATCAGAAGTGAACTATGCAACTTGTTTCTTTCCCTTCTCTCTCTAGACCAAGAGCTCTGATGTTCCTGAGTGAATGAATGATAATTAGTCTGTCGTGAGGCAGTTATGAAAATGAATGGGTATTAACATGGATAGGTAGGACAACTCATTATAAAACCACAAGTCAAATCCTTTCCTGTGCAAAATGTGTTTTGGCTGCATTTGGAATACTGTGTCAGTGTCCAAGAAACAGCAAAAGAGGGCAGCACAGTGGCTCAGTGATTAGCATTGCTGCCTCAGAGCTCCAGGGACCCAGGTTTGATTCCACCCTCAGGAAGTTGTGTGTGTGGAGTTTGCACATTCTCTCCATGTCTGCGTGGCTTTCCTCCAGGTGCTCTGGTTTCCTCCCATAGTCCAAATGTGCAGGTTAGGTGGGCCGGCCATGCTAAATTGCCCACAGTTTCCAGAGATGTGCAGGCTAGGTGGATTAGCAAAGGAAATGCGGGGTTACAAGCACAGGGTGGGGGGAGAGGGGGGGTTGGTGGTGGGATGCTATTCAGAGGGTCACTGTGGACTCAATGGGCCAAATAGCCTGCTTCCACACTGTACAGATGATTTACTCTTCAGGGTATCTGGTTTTCGAGTGTGATTAAATATGAAACTAGATATAGTCCTAGGAGTCCTCGCATTGTACAAGAACTTCTTCTGGAAGCTTTTGGTACATTTCTTCAGTATTAGAAGTAACATGAATAAAGACACTCTGTAGACCATCTAGTTTTCAAGAACAAAGAACAAAAGAGCAGTACGGCACAGGAACAGGCCCTTTGGCCCTCTAAGCCTGTTCCGATGATCATGCCCTGACTAAACTAAAAAATCAATTCAATTTAATTTCAATTGAGGGGAGTGTCTGCTGACATGACAGTTTTACACAGAACCTTGAAACTCAAAAATGCAGCCTCGTAAATTTCTAGGAACTGATCTTTCATTTTAAAATTAATTAATCAAAGAATATTTACAGGATTGTTCATTACTGACACCCATTCCTTCTATGTACACCACAGCGTTCTTCCATCATCTTTCACTGCTATTACTATAAGATCCTTAAAACGTTGAAATAATTTAGTATTGAATACTCGCGAAAATGATACCTATCTCACACCTCAGGTTGCACATAGAGAAAAATAACAAATCAGAGCCTTCACTTAATGAAACTTCCCCGCTCCTATCATTTAGTCCACCGAGTGAAGCTCCCAACTTTATTGCCAGTATTATCAGTCCAACTTAGCAAGATCATCAGCTTCCTTGCCCATATCATCTAGTGCATTGACTAAAGTCCGTAGCTTCCCAGGTCATATCATGTAATCACACTGACAAACAGCGTATACCCTTTTTTAAAGATGATGGCTACAACAGTGCACTTTACTCCATTTGTGACTTAACCACAAGTTCTGGCAGCATCTGTGGAGACAGAGACGAGTTAACATTTCAAGTCCAATTTGACTCCTCTTCAAAATTTGAGTTGAAATTTATCCTGATATTTTAGAAGAACAATTAAGTGTTCCACTCCTCACCCTTCTTCTGTAACTCTACAAAATAATTACATATTCTCTTCTGAAAGTCACGATTAAATCTAACTCCACCACCTATTCAGGAAGTACATTTCTAGGTCTTGACAACTCTTTGTGTTGAAGTTTTTACATTTGGCATTTCTGGTCCTTTTGCCATTCACCTTGAATCTGTGTCCTCTCATTCTAGACCCTTACACAATTGGGAAGCATTTCACTCAATCCACACTGTCCATAGCCCATATGACTTCAAATGCTATGCTTAACTATTCTTAACTTAATGTGTAAGATATAGATGGGTCTTTCTGGATTACGTTTTAGCCTGGAGTCACGGCTGAATAATTAAAGCAATGAGGTTGAAACTGGTGTTTTTCAATGCAAATTCGAATCCTGTTGACTGCTCCTACAAAAAGGCTTCTTGTGTTGCAGTGTTGCAGTGCTTAATCCCTGTCCGTAAACAGGTTTGAGTTCCACCTGCCCTGGAGATGTATCATAACATACCCAAACAAAGCTGATTTAAAATATGTCCAATACTTATTAAAACCATTTCTGAACAGCCTCCAAAGCATTTATTTTAGCTTTTACATTTACAAAGCAGAAGGTGACCAATAATGTGGTCTAACCAAGCATGTTCTGGTGCAGATAAATACCTTTCTTATAATCACATCAAGATCTAATTAACTTTGACGGTAATGGACATAGAGATAGATGACTAGCTTTCCTCACCTCCCACTGTAACTCCAGCAAGACTCGATTGTGAAACAGCTGAAAGTGGCTAATGTACTGAGGCTGGAGGCTTGGTCCTGAGCATTAACTTACTATAATGGATTTGGTGCTGCGTGGATGGCTATCTGAGCCCAATCTTATCACCCTGGAACTGCAGAAATGGGCTCTAACTTTGGATGTCTCAAGATGCAATTCCTCTACTTCCTAGCCAAGATCCATGTGCTGGACTGGATTGATTAAAAAAAATGAATACATAAAATGTTAATATTTTTACAAACTACTTTAAAAATAAAATTCACTATTGTTATAATACATTTTACATGTTAATCTATAATACAAACTTTGACAATTATATATTGAATATTACTATGCTGATTTATTGCTGTTGTTCACATTTGGATTCATTTTGATTTTCAATATTAAAATGGTGTCACATTGGAAAATAGCTTGGTAATACTGCTGCAGATTTTACAGACTCTATTTTTCTGTTTCAATGAACATTCCTGTCGTCCAAGAGATCTGTATTTGCTTTACGGTTAAGTACAATCCACAGCATTCCCAAATAATTGATGAAAAATCCTTCTCAACACATCTCAATATCTGTCTTGTGTGCCTGTTATATGACAAAACCCTTCTTTACTTCAGAAGGTGACAGAATAACACCAGACCGGACCTCAGATTAACAGAAAAAACACTGATCAAACATCAAAGAACAAGTGAACAGTACTAATACCACAACATGCATTTTAAAGTACGAACTTTAACCTTAATTGCCTCGTGAAGAACAGGCAGGAGGATGGTTGGAACAATTTCACGGCCTTATCCATCATGCTGCCACCATTTTCCTACAAGTTGGCATTTTACTCATGTTGAGGAGCTGAGCAGAAGATCAGCTGGAAGGCAGTTGCGTTCAGCTTTAAAAATTGAAATACATGATATTATTGTAACATTAGTCCAAAAAAATGTGTCGGGCCAAAACAGAAATGGCAAGAAACGTTGTGGAAACCAGTGAGTAAATTAATCTGGTTTTCATTTTCTTGTGGGCTTGAAGCTGGAGTGTTTACCAGAAGCCGCACAAATAACTTAAATCTCCCCGGCCGTAAGATTTTGTCCTCATTTCTGATTGCATCCTGACTATCAAAAGTGGAGAGAGATAGTGGAGACTGCTTTCCTCCTATCTCTTGTCCCTCCTTCCCTTCACCTTCACAAATCTATCTTTCTTGAATGTCTGTAAATATTCCACAGAGCTCCCAGTAGACACCCCCTCCCCCACTGACCATCAGACCATCTTTCCACCCGTTACAGCTGGGAGACCCTCCAGTTAAAAACCCATTCCCCTCCAGCCTGCAAGCTTCCAGATGAAAACCAAAACTCAGGCTTAAATAATTGTGAAAAGGATTATTAGTCAAACTCATTTCAACAATTCACATGACATTTAAATTCAATGACGGTTAACAACTTTACGCCTCCGCTGGATAAAGTAAAGAACGAGTTAATAAAATATTGAATCCTGAAAATGTTGCAAATCACACTCAAGAAAGTTTAACGATTCTCTTCATACATAATGACCTATCTGGTGTGTAATTGTCTATGTTTTTGGTTAAATTTAAGTAATGATGAACAATTTCCTCTGAGCGAAGTTTGTTTTCACCCCAAATCTTCAGGGTAAAACGAGGAAACAATATCAATCTTAGTCGTCTGTCATGGTGGTAAGATTACGTTAAGGTTATTCCTGGATCATAAAAATGTAATTACACAAAACCAGATAGCATCACACTTACTTTTCTGCCAGGCCTTCTCAGAGAATGTGTCTCTCACTAGGAATGCATTTTGGTCTTAGATAGGTAATCTCTAAGAACCCTCAGGCCTTCTGCAGGAGCAGTGCTGTTTCATTAGCTTCTCATGTTCAGCAATGACACTCGGACAAAATTTATCCAATCAATCAAAAGGGATATGGTGTGTGCAATCGCAACTTCCAGTAAACACGCAATATCCAACACTAAGCAGTCCTGACGAAAGGTAATACTTGTAACGTTGACTGCTCCTTTCCTCCAGATGCTGCCCGGCTTGCTGTGTTCTTCCAGCCTCCTGCTCGTTTACCTTGGATTCCAGCATCTGCAGTTTTTTTTGTATCTAAGCTCCAGCCAATCAATTCAACACAAAGCACGGACGGCTCTCGGATGGATCCTCTTGCACAGACACCGGAACATTTCTGTTCCCTTCCTTTGTCCCCAATGGATAGTCAGACTTCCTGACTATGAGAATAGTATCACTGTGTAAAACCTGAACAAATCTCATTCCTGGACCGTCTTCACTCTTCTCACTTTAATGCAGACGTACGCAGGAACTGAGCCTCCTGCAAAAAAGGGGCGGAATATTAGGGAACAGTGAGCGTACCGTTTTGACTGGCGTTTCTAAGCGCCAATCAGGGACTGGAGTACATATAGCACTTTGTTAGTATGTTACATGTCAATCACAATTCGCAACCAGTTAGTCCGCGCTGAGAGCGGGACTTCCACTCTGATCGGGAAAGCTAACACGATCTGAGGAAGTGTTGTATCACGGCAGGCAAACCGCTTAGTTGGGGACGATTTGAGCAAAAGTCGAGACTGCGCCTGAACATGGGCGCCCTCACCAATATCGATAGAGATTCTAAAATATAGCAACGGAAGCCAAACAAACGTTAATAATAGCAAAAACAAAGTTGCTGGAAAAGCTCAACTGGTCTGGCAGCATCTGTAAAGGAGAAAACAGAGTAAACGTTTCGGGTCCGGTGACCCTTCCTCAGAACTGATAGTGGCTGGGAAAACGTCAGTTTATATGCAGAAAATAGGGAGGTGGGTGGGGAAGGTAGTAAATGACAGGTTAGAGCCCGAAGAGAGAGAAAGACGGTTGGACAGACAAAGGAGTTGCTAACGATCAGGCTGGGAGGGTGAGTAGTTGTTTATGGGGTCTGTTAGTGACTAACAACAGCGGGTGTATAATGGCAGGCTATGTAATAACAAGGCCTGGTATGTGGGGTGGGGGACTGGGACATGGGAGAGTTTAGGCCCTAAAATTATTGAACTTAATATTGAGTCCAGAGGGCTGTAGGGTCCCCAGCGGAAAATGAGGTGTTGTTCCTCCAGCTTGCGTTGGGCTTCACTGGAACACTGTAGCAAGCCAGAGACAGAGATGTTGGCTAGGGAGCAGGGTGGTTCATTGAAGTGGCAGGGAACGGGTAATTCAGGCTCTTTTTTGCGAGTAGAACGTAGATGTTCTGCAAAGCAGTCGCTAAGTCTACGCTTCGTTTCCCCAATGCAGAGGAGACCACACTGTGAGCAGCAAATGCAGTAGACTAGATTCTGGTAGGTGCAGGTGAAGTGTTGCTTCACCTGGAAGGCATGTTTGGGCCCTTGGATACTGGGGAGGGAGGAGGTAAATGGGCAGGTGTTGCACCTTTGCCGGTGACAGGGGAAGGTGCCGTAGGGCTGTGGGGAGGTGTTGGGGATGAAGGAAGTGTGGACCAGGGTGTCCTGGAGGGAACGGTCCCTGCGGAAGGCGGACAAGGGAGGGGAGGGGAATATGTGTCTGGTGGTGGCATCTTGTTGGACGTGGCGGAAATGGCGTCTGATGATCTTCTGGATGTGGATGCTGGTGGGATGGTAGGTAAGGATAAGGGGAACCCTATCGCTGTTGCAGGAGGGAAGAGAAGGGGTGAGGGCAGAAGTGCGGGAGATGGGTCGGACCTGGTTGAGGGCCCTGTCGACAACAGAGCTGGGGAAACCTTGGTTGAGGAAGAAGGGGCATTTCGGAGGCTCCCTTGTCGAAGTTGGCCTCATCTGAACATATGCGACGGAGACGGAGGAACTGAGAGAATGGGATGGAGTCTTCACAGGAAGTGAGGTGTGAGGATGTATAGTCCAGGTAGCTGTGGGAGTCAGTAGGTTTGTAATGGATATTAGTGGCCAGTCTATCCCCAGAAATGGAAACAGAAATGTCGAGGAAGGAAAGGGAGGAGTCAGAGATAGACCAGGTGAAAGTGAGGGCAGGGTTGAATTTGGAGGTGAAATTGATGAAGTTTTCCAATTCCAGACGAGACAGGGAAGCAGCACCGACGATATCTTCGATGTATAGGAGAAAGAGTTGTGGGTGGGGGCCGGAATAGGACTGGAACAAGGAATGTTCCACATACCCCACAAAGAGACAGGCATAACTGGGGCCCATGCAGGTACCCATGGCAACCCCTCTTACCTGAAGAAAATGAGAGGAGTTGAAAGAGAAGTTGTTGAGGGTGAGGACAAGCTCGGCCAAGCTGAGGAGGGTGGTGGTGGGTGGGGATGGTTCAGGTCTTTGCTCCTGGAAGAAGTGGAGAGCCCTAAGACCCCCCTGGTGGGGAATGGATGTGTAGAGGGATTGCACATCCATGGTAAAGAGGAGGTGACTGGAGCCGGTAAACTGGAAGTTCTGAAACCGGCGTAAGGCGTCAGATGAATCATGGATGTATGTGGGTAGGGGTTGTTATGCCTGTCTCTTTGTGGGGTATGTGGAACATTCCTTGTTCCAGTCCTATTCCGGCCCCCACCCACAACTCTTTCTCCTATACATCGAAGATATCGTCGGTGCTGCTTCCCTGTCTCGTCTGGAATTGGAAAACTTCATCAATTTCACCTCCAAATTCAACCCTGCCCTCACTTTCACCTGGTCTATCTCTGACTCCTCCCTTTCCTTCCTCGACATTTCTGTTTCCATTTCTGGGGATAGACTGGCCACTAATATCCATTACAAACCTACTGACTCCCACAGCTACCTGGACTATACATCCTCACACCTCACTTCCTGTGAAGACTCCATCCCATTCTCTCAGTTCCTCCGTCTCCGTCGCATATGTTCAGATGAGGCCAACTTCGACAAGGGAGCCTCCGAAATGCCCCTTCTTCCTCAACCAAGGTTTCCCCAGCTCTGTTGTCGACAGGGCCCTCAACCAGGTCCGACCCATCTCCCGCACTTCTGCCCTCACCCCTTCTCTTCCCTCCTGCAACAGCGATAGGGTTCCCCTTATCCTTACCTACCATCCCACCAGCATCCACATCCAGAAGATCATCAGACGCCATTTCCGCCACGTCCAACAAGATGCCACCACCAGACACATATTCCCCTCCCCTCCCTTGTCCGCCTTCCGCAGGGACCGTTCCCTCCGGGACACCCTGGTCCACACTTCCTTCATCCCCAACACCTCCCCACAGCCCTACGGCACCTTCCCCTATAACCGGCGAAGGTGCAACACCTACCCATTTACCTCCTCCCTCCCCAGTATCCAAGGGCCCAAACATGCCTTCCAGAATCTAGTCTACTGCATTCGCTGCTCACAATGTGGTCTCCTCTCCATTGGGGAAACAAAGCATAGACTTGGCAACCGCTTTGCAGAACATCTACGTTCTACTCGTAAAAAAGACCCTGAGCTACCTGTTGCCTGCCACTTCAATGCACCACCCTGCTCCCTGGCCAACATCTCTGTCTCCAGCTTGCTACAGTGTTCCAGTGAAGCCCAACGCAAGCTGGAGGAACAACACCTCATTTTCCGCTTGGGGACCCTACAGCCCTCTGGACTCAATATTGAGTTCAATAATTTTAGGGCCTAAACTCTCCCATGTCCCAGCCCCTCACCCCACACACCAGGCCTTGTTACCACATAGCCTGCCATTACACACTCCCTGTTGTTAGTCACTAATAGGCCCCATTAACAATTATTCACCCTCCCAGCCTGATCGTTAGCAACTCCTTTGTCTGTCCAACTGTCTTTCTCTGTCTTCGGGCTCTATCCTGTCGTTTACTCCCTTCCCCACCCACCTCCCTATTTTCTGCATATAAACTGACGTTTTCCCAGCCACTATCAGTTCTGAGGAAGGGTCACCGGACCCAAAACGTTAACTTTGTTTTCTCATTCACAGATGCTGCCAGACCTGCTGAGCTTTTTCAGCAACTTTGTTTTTGTTCTGATTTACAGCATCCGCAGTTCTTTTGGTTTTTATTAAACATTAATAAGAGTTATATACTTCCTGAATGTCACGGACACAATAACAGTCAAGACGAAAGCTGGTGGTGAGAAGGTCCCTTTCCCCCACTAATTCCTCCTGCATGCCCTGATTCTGGCACTGTGTCTGCACATTACCGTAAATCCCCTTGTGGGCAGAGAAGAAAATGTTGTCCACCTCCTTCTGCACTGGCCCCCAAATGATGAAAATTAGTGTTCCACAAAGACTGGTGCCAGAACCACTATTGTTCATCATTTGCAGCAGTAAAGTAATAGATGTGGTTTATCCAGATGTTCAAAACGGCTTTGAAAATGGGCCGCAAATTAGTCTCATAATACATAATGTCAGAGCATGGGAGACAAATGGCAGGATGGATGACCCACTGACTTCAAGAAAGCAGAAGTCAAGAGTAAGAAGTAAAGGGAACGAGTAAAGGGAAGAAATATAACCAGAGGCCATCAATATAAGATAGTTACCGAGAAATCATAAGTTCAGAAGTAACTACTTTATTAAAAGACTGGTGAGAATGTGGAACGTGCTACTACATAGTGTCATACATGTATACAGCATGGAAACAAGTCCTTCAGAATTTACAGATGCATTTAAAGGGGAAACAGCCTTCCAGTCCCTCCAGCCTTCCAGTAGGCTGGAAAGTGATGTCAGTGTTCATCCTGATCACCTCTAGGATGCAGGACTCTGCTTTACTGGATGATCCCAGGCTAGTCTTCCAGGGCAAACATGTGATCCCAATCGGCTGTTGGAGGCTGGCACACTTCCCTGGTTCAAGACCGTGCGCTAAAACCTGTGCCGCTGTTGCAAAAGGTGGAGTAAGGAGCAGGCTGAACAGTCATTGTATACCAAGGGCCTGGAAATGAGGGAAACCACTCAGGCTGTGTGTTTGACACCATATGAAATTTGTAGAGATAAACAGTAATTGTAAACATAGTAAGTGACATAGAATTTTGTAATAAATTGATATGGTTTGCAGCTTATGTAATGTCAACTTTGAACAGCCATGTGATGTACTTTAAGACCAAGGTAATATTTACGATTCACCTGAGCCTCCTACCTTGTCTTATCAAAACCTATCATCCTACTATCTCTCATCACCACAATCTATTACCTTCTCCATGTCAAGTTTTCCCTTTAAATGCATCTGTAAATTCTGAAGGACTTGTTTCCATGCTGTATAAATGTATGACACTATGTAGTAGCACGTTCCACATTCTCACCAGTCTTTTAGTAAAGTAGTTACCTCTGAATTTATGATTTCTCAGTAACTATCTTATGTTGATGGCCTCTGGTTATATTTCTTCCCTTTACTCGTTC